CGCATATTCCAACTGGGCGTGGGGTCATAACTTGTAAAATTCATATCCGGAAGGTACCCCTTATGAAAAATATGAGTGTTAATACAAATTCAATTCAACAAAAAATAAATATCGTAACATAAAGGAAAATTGAAGTTTATCAGTCGTATTGTGGATTATGTAAAGTAGGAGAGAAGTTATTTCCTCGCTCCTTGTTCGCCCGCAGAGATAAGTTAAGATCCGGCCAAACTCTTTCAGCTGGAACCTATTGGGCTAAAATTGCTTCAGAATAACCACCCGATAACTGGGGATTATCCCTACTTTGCGCAATCTCATTATTGCCAACGTCTTCAGCCTTGACGTACATTTTCAATAATTTTATCACAATAAATTCCCTGTATTCATCCGGAATCCGCAAAAAATCTCTAAGAGTTTCATCATCTTCGATATTAAACTCAAAATAACAAGCAAAACCTTGTGGAGTCACAAAATACGAAAATCTACCGGTTACTTTAAGGTTCACCGAACGTTTCCTCGCACACTTATTTTTTTTACGTAACAACGATACCAATTTATTGTACTCCATTGTAAGCGAAAATTTAACATGACACTATGGAGATGAACTATACCTCACAGAGTTATTATCCACTACAACCTCACCCCCCCCCCCCCATATAATGAAAACCTTATTTTTGGCTCTTCAGACATTATAAAAAATGTTTGCTAACAAGAAGAAAAGTTTGAAACGGAAGTTAGAATATTTTTGAATGGATTCTCATAAAATTCTAACGCCTTTAAATAAGACAATGCCTAGCTCGAGGGGCTAAATTTTTTGATGTATAGCGCGGTATTGTACTGCGCTATACCCATTTGAATTATTGTTATGTCAGTTAACCGCAGGAGACTTATTGGTGGGCCCACAAACAGGTATAGCGCAATGTAATACCATGCTATATATATTTGAATTACAGTTATGTTAGTTAAATGCAGGAGACTAATTGGTGGGCCTACAAATAGGTATAACGCGGTATTACACCGCGCTATATATAACGCGATATTACACCGCGCTATACTTAACGGTAGAAACACCGTTAAAGTATAGCACAGTATAATACCACATTATATATAGAAAAGTATCTTTTTTAGGCAGTAAAAACGTATTTTGAGTCCAAAATGTTGGCATTTAGGTTTCAGACTCCATATGTTTCATGCTAGCTCTTGTAAAGGATAATCCTACATCGACTCTACTCCTATATTTTAGGATTCTTGTAGCTAAAGGACTTGTATATCTCTAGGCATAAGAGTCTTATACATATGGGAACTCACTGTATATATTAGGGTTGTATAGTCACGTTTAAGTATGAGAATAAAAGAACTTTTCATGGTATCAGAGCCCTAAGAGGTTTAACAACCCAAGACTGTCTTTACAAAAAAGAAGAAGATGATGACTGGTATGAGGGATAAAACCAATTCTTCATCCGCCTCTCAGTCTCCCATATCTTACTCTATGCCTTCCCCAAATCTGACACATCAGCTACTGGTAAAGTTCACGTCCACAAACTTTCTGTTATGGAAAACATAGTTTATGCCGATGGTGTGCGACTGTGGACTCAACCATCAAATTGATGGTAGTGAACCAGTTCCTGAACCTCTTTTAGAGGACAGTAAACCAAACCCAGCATATAAAGTGTGGGTGAGAGAAGACCAACTTGTATTAAGTTGGATTGTTGCATCAGTTTCACAGGGTATTTTACCTCAATTAGATGGAGCGCAGAGCGCTCGTGCAGCTTGGGATAAGCTTGTTGCTGCATATGCTTCAGGATCGAAGCCTCAAATTCGTGAACTCAAGATGCAGTTGCATACTTTGCGTCGTGATAATGCGAGCATTGAATCTTATATACAGAGGGCAAAAGGAATTGCGGATAGACTAGCTGCGCTACAACATCCGATTTTCAATGATGATTTGGTTGAATTTGTTCTTGCTAGACTAGGTCCTGTTTATTGTCCTTTTACTAGATCACTAGAATTGCGTCAAGAAGATGTTACTTTTGATGCTTTATATGGCCTTCTCCTGAATGAAGAGCGACAATTAAAAAGAGATGAGACCATTAATGTAATTGTACCCACAACCCACTTTACTAAAAGTTCCTTTTCTAGCACTTGAGGACGTGGTAGAGGACGAGGAGGGCGTGGTCGTGGACGCTCCTCCAACCAAAGGTTCACCCAGCAGAACTCTTATCATACTTCTCCAGCATCTAACCAGTTGCCAAAGGCACAACCACAAGTTTCAGAATTTTCAGGGATTATTTGTCATAATTGTGAAGGTAAATGCCACATTGCACGTGTATGCCCATCACCTAAAGCCAATAGTGGCAGCATGGTGAATGGTCGACCTATTTCCAATTTTGTTGGTTCTCCAAACCCACCTACCCAAACTTGGTTGATGGATAGTGGCACCACATATCATATCACTGCAGACCTTGATAATCTTGGTATCCACTCTGAATACCAAGGTCCTGAAGAAGTGACACTAGGTAATGGCTCCAAATTACCCATCTCTCATATTGGTAAAAGTTCCGTTATTGTCTCCAATAATAAATTCAATCTTGATAATATTTTACATGTTCCCACTGCTACTCACAATCTATTATCAATTAGCTCTTTTGCCAAGTCTAATAATGTGTCTGTTGAATTATTTCCTAACCATTTTTTGATTAAGGACTTGGCAACGAGGGAAATCCGATACACTGGGTCCACGAGTGAAGGCTTATATTCACTTCCAATGTTGTAATCATTATCACCAGTTTCATGTGCAGCTTCCCTTAGAGTTTGGCATGCTCGTCTTGCTCATGCATCCTATCCTACGGTTCGTCATGCTTTACCAGCCATTGCTCTCACATCATCAACGCATAAAAACACTAGTATATGTTCTATATCTGTTGTTAGTAAGAGCCATAAAATTCCTTTTAGTGAGTCTAGTTTTCAGGCCACGGGGCCTGTAGATTTGATATGTTCGGATGTTTGGGGCCCTGCTCCAGTAGTTTCACAGGATGGTTATCGTTATTATGTCATCTTTTTTGAGCATTTTAGCAAATATACTTGGATTTATTTTCTTCGTTTCAAATCTGAAGTACTTTCAATTTTTCGTCAATTTCGTACAATTGTTGAGAAGTATTTTGGTCACCCTATTAGATGTTTCCAAGCCGATTGGGGAGGTGAATTTCAACCCTTAACAAATTATTTGCGTGATAATGGAATTGTCCAACGTTCCTTTTGTTCTTATACACCTGAACTGAATGGTTGTGCCGAAAGAAAGCATAGGCATATTGTTGAAACCGGTCGTGCACTTTTGCACAATGCCAATGTTCCCCATTACTTGTGGACAAATGCATTTCAAACTGCTGTTTATACTATTAATCGATTGCCAACTCCCCGTTTAAAGAATCAATCAGCTCTGTCCCTAACCAAGTATAATCTATGGATCATGGTGTATGGCCTACTGTTTTTGCAACACTCTAATCTCTTGCAGATTAACAGAATAGACTATAGGTCACTCACGGGGAGATAATGAAAAAAGAAATGTATGCAGATATGTGTGTTTCTGTATTTGTACATGGGATCACGAGAGTTTGGATTTAAGTGATGTATTAGTCAAAAAAATTGCATGTTTTCTGGAAAAGTAAGGGTAGGTAAAATGGACCTGGACCCACTGATCCAGAGAATATGAATAGATGGATTGCCAAGAGAATAGATTTGATCCAAATTTGATGTGGATTTCTTCAACTCTATTATTTTGAGATGGATCGGTCCTCAGAGCGATTGCCAACATAAAAATAGTCAGAATGAATATAGAAGATTCATATGATTGACTATAGGTAAAATATATAGTTTACCCATTAACTTTGCAGCGAAATCCCTATTACACACCTCTTTTTTACGGGAAACCTTTTACACAATCAACCTTTTAAATTTTTGACAAGATAGCACTTGCATGTTTACACAAACAAAAAGCGCGTGAAACTCATAAAAAATTCCATGTTTTGTCTCCCCCCTGGTCTTCTTCCTCACCACCCTCCCCCTCATTTTCTTCCCCAAATAGAAATTTTGAAAGAACATATCAATTTTAGATCTAAATTTGAGCAGATTTTGTTGGTTTATTGTCCAAATATTGTGAAAAATATTTATTTGTGATAGAATTAAAAGTTTTAACAGTAGTATTGAAGGTTTGATGAAAAAATCTAGAATTCACCATTGTTGGGGTATCGAAAAAAGCTTGAAAATTCAATTGATTCTTGTTAATTATTGGGTTGTTGAACTCAATTTGTTGCTCGATTATTTTCGGCTAGTTGTTTAAATAGTGTGTTTGAATTTTGGTATTGTTGGAAACTTTCTCACAAACAACCATGATGGTAGCAACAATGGTGGTTAAGATAGAAAATGGAAAGATGAGTTTCAATTTTAATTTCTAATATTTTTTTTCCTTTTTAAAGTCAATGCCACGTGTCACGACCCTATTAGGGCGTAACTTTCACGTTATCTGAAAAATTGGTCAAGTACAAAAGTGGTGTGTACATATTTTTAAAAGGTTGAGTGTGTAAAAGATTTTCCGTGAAAGATAGGTATGTAACAGGGATTTCGCTATAAGATTGATGGATAAACTATGTATTTTGCCTTTGACTCTATATAGTGTATGAATAGTATACAAAACGATTCTTGTAGGTAATTTTAACTAACTTGGAGTTGAGGCACAGCTGGTTAATTAATTCATATAGATATAAGATATATACACACTTCAAATCTTGTGTATTTCTTTCGGAAGACCTAAGAAATAGATATATAGGTATTTTATGATATTCATATGTATATTTTTGCCCACACCAATGCATTTTATTACCCAGAACATCAGTAATACAACAAATAAGACTGGTTATTGATAGGCAGTCCAATATCTAAGAGAGAATAATTCAAAACATTGTCACTAGTCACTAGTACATATCTTATTAGCTCGAAATCACTGCTACTTAGGCTGCAACTGGAGGTTTAGTTAGTTTTCTGCTACGGATATCAGTTAATTGGTAGGCTTTGGGTACCCGAATATCGAGCTTCTGTCCGGCTTGACAGTGGCCTCGAAACCCGCAAATATAGTAGTAGTGGCCGGGACCGACAATGGTGATGGAATAGTTGCCGGAGGAGTAAGTGGCGATTGGATTTCCAGCATTGCACGAATGGAAATCGGAGAGGCTCACTCGTACCACGTTGTGGAGTTGTTGGTTGTACTGAAAAACTTCAGCACCATTGAGGCAACAGTTAGTGAAAATGCTAATAAAACAGGGCACTTAATCATCTTAATAAGTAGTTACTATGAAAAGGGCAGTCCGGTGCACAAAACATTCCATGTTCACTCAGGTTCGGGGAAGAGCCGCATCCGAAGGGGTGTGATGTAAGCAGCCTACCCTAATGCAAGCACCTCTGTGGCTGACTGATTCCACGACTCGAACCCGTGACCTACAAGTCACACGGAGACGACTTTACCGTTGCTACAAGGCTCCTCTCAATAAGTAGTTACTATATCATTAGAAATTCTTAATAAGGATGAGCACAGATAGATCAAAAATTTAAGAATTTAACTTTTTCCATGGAGACAAACCCCTCCATCAAAAACATTCCTTTGGTCATTGTAGACTGAACTCGATGCGAACCTTTCTCATTAGAGTTCAAATTATGTACACTAACAGATCAATAATGAAATAGTTACAAATAAATATCTATGATAAACATTAAATTGTAACCTGGTAAAACGGTAAATAACATGCTATCACAAGTTAAACGACACATATAAAGTTAAAAATCTTCACACTATCTGCGAATATAAGAATCCTTTCAACTAGTAGTAGCAGCTACTAATCTACTGCTATAATTTTATAGCCGGAAATGCAAATTTGATATAAATTTATAAAACAACAACAACCCAGTAAAATTCCACAAGTGGAGTCTGGGGAGGGTAGTGTGTACGCAGACCTTACCCCTACCTGAGAAGGTAGAGAGGTTGTTTCCGATAGACCCTTGGCTCGAAAAGGATGAAAAGAAATAGTAGAAACAAGCAATATCAACAAAGAGGACCAGAAAGATAATAACGACAAAGGAAATAGTAGCAACAAGCTATGACAACCTGGAAAAGCTAGTTATACACATAGTTCAAATCGAAAAGCACTTCTTGTAAACCAGGTGATCAGCTAAACTAGCTGGACTTACCAAGAGTGTCACCAACCTGGAAAGTCTTAGTAGAAGCCCACATATGATAGTCAATATTGCTGCCTGTCCAACCGGCGGAATCACCAACACTGTACACAGTACCGTCGACCAGAGTTGTGCTAAAGAAACCAAATATAGCCATTGCCGAGAAGAGAAGAATGGTTTCCTTTGCACAAACCATGACTTAACCTCCACAAGGGAAAAAAGAAATTGTAGTACTTTACAAGGAGTAACTTGGCATACAAAGGAAGTTGCAGCGGCATTCTTGCGTGAACTATCAGTATATAACTGACCAGCAGACTTCTGGTGCTGCATTCACCATGTTGTTTTTGTGAGGAAAGAGCTGATAATACAATTAGGAGTCCAGTAGTACTCACAAGCTGTGCATGAGTTGAGCAAATCGTATGAGTAGAACATGTTGTATATACATGCATGAGCGTGTCAAAATTGAACTTAATATTTGACTCTACAACAACACCTCAAGTATAATCCCACAAGTGAGGTTTGGGGAGGGTAGTGTGTACGCATACCTTACCCCTACCCTGGTGGGATAAATAGGTTGTTTCCGATAGGCCCTCGGTAATATTTGACACTGTTAGTGGATATAACTTAAATTTAGGAAAAACAAAACTCCCTGACTGTACCAACTAGTTCTCTTTGCCAAACTGCACCTGCATCACGCTAACTCCAGGGAAAAGAACCTAATAGCATTAACCCATGCTTCACTTATATAACTGGAAAATGGTAATCCAGGCTGTTCTCCCTGTCACTCCCAGATTCATTTCTATATAGGAAAGAAAAACAATTTGGTAACAAAGGTCAAGATACTCATTTTTATTAAACTATAGTTTATAGAATGCCAGAGCAGGATACTACAGGAGTAAAGAAAACAACTCATCAAATATAAAATATAGATCCAAGTTCTGTTTGAAGAGATCTCTGATTCAACTATTCAAAGATAATCAACCAGTCAATACAATATCACCAGAAGTCAATTCCTAATGTTGATAAAGTATCTTTTATGCCAATGAAGTGGCTACTTGTGAAGTAGAGAAGCCAAGTTCGACTCAACATCTTCTTTGGCTTTCTGATCAAATGACTCATCACCAATATATAGGTCCAGAATTGATCTGCATAAGAGTTTGCTCTGTATGCTTCCCACTTCCTTTCCGTCAACTATAAAAGGAAAAAAAAAAAGAACTTAAGCTTCATCTAAATGATTGATGCAAGAATGAACTTTGAACAAACAACTACAAAGCAAAAAGTTCAGAGATAATATTTAGAGAAATGAGAAGAAAACATCAAGATAAGGAAAAATATTTTCAACAGCTAACATATAGCAATCCCTTTTTAGTTTTATAGATGGCGAAACTAGTGAAGGCCAGAAAAAATATATCCGTAACAAAAGGGATGGTTGGCTGATATCTTATACCAATCCTATAGAGAACCAAAATGTTTAGCCACTTCCTACTGCAAAGGCAACCTGGTGCACTAAGCTCCTGCTATGCGCGGGGTCCGGAGAAGGGCTGGACCACAAGGGTCTATTGTATGCAGGCTTAACCTGCATTTCTGCAAGAGGCTATTTCCACGGCTCGAACCTGTGACCTCCTGGTCACATGACAACAACTTTACCAATTACGCCAAGGCTCCCCTTCCTTCTTAGGAAATGTAAGGGAATGAAATATGCCAACTGATGGTGTAATCAGAATATATTCTTTGTATTGCTCTTGTTTAGCTCTCACTTGATGAACTAATTTCCCCTTTATTGTAGCCTCTTTTATACTGCTTTGCAATCAAACCTTAAAAGGGCAATGGCTAAAAGAAAATAACATCATGATGTATCTGCTTAATAGCTCTTCAATGATTTTGGCCAACCGATAGCTATAACATTTGTTTTTTCAACACACACAGACACAAATTACACGCACAGCCAACATGCTGGCAACAGAAATTAATCATCTTACTTGTTGTGTGAAGTATGTAGCCATGGTCTCTGGAGAGTTCTATGATAGATCCCCGAGGTATTTTAATGTCATCTTTAAACTGGGAAGTGAACCTGCAGTTACAAAAAGACATTTTAGGCTATAAAAGAACTAGAAGGAGGCAGGAATAGTTAAGGATTTGGAAATGATAATGTTCCAAATAAACTGGTTAGCAGCTAAATGAACTCTATTCAAGGAAAAGACGTGTTGTTTGTAAAGCTGAGAGATAACTGATCACATTTAGGCAAAAGAGTCCAGTAATAATGTCCAAGACTGTGATATTACAAAGCATTAAATTTAAAAGGTAACTTGAGTCAGGTTTCAGAATATATATATAAGAATTGAATAATTTAGGGTGCGAGCTAATGAAGTGCTTCTTACAGCTTTAGCAGTCTTTTGCCCTTTAGTGATCTGGTATTTATTTGAAAAAGGTTGAATAAGACACTGATGATATGAGGCTAAGTAATTACCTATGGAGCAATTCTTTGTTATCATATCCCCCAAACTTGAGTAATCTGCTGCCAACAGATTCTTCAAAAGCACTACGCACAGAACCAATGCTTAGTCTCCCATACACTATCTGAAGCCTAACAGTCATGCGTATATCATTTTCCATGAGATGATCCCTCAACTCTTCCTTTTGCTTCAGTTCAGAATCAGAGGGACCGACATGCTTCTGAGCCAGACACTTCTTCACATCACCATCATCAGCATACACACCTATTGGGTGTCATATCGACATCACATTAGATAACGGCCATACTTTAAAGTAAAGCTCACTTTTCCTTCGAGATGGGACATTCAAAATTGCAAAAGGAAAAAAAGAAGCGAGCATAATGCATATCTCCGCTTATCATTAAAAGGAAGATCCAAATAGAAACGACAATGAGATTCTCAAATATGATAATACCACGGATTTAAATTTTATGCACTAACAGTATAAGAAACTGTTTCAGGTTACTTCAAACCTATTCCAGGTAACTATCTATAGTAAGCATGAGTCGATCAAAAAGACACCAGCTAACATAAACGGCAAAGTTATTTACATGGTCAGATGAAAACTTAATAAATCCTACCATAGGGTAATAAAGTGACTAATAGAGCTCTTGAACTTTGACTGAAATAGAAAGTGAATCAGCTAAAAACAGATAAGAATTGGCATTCATTTGATACTCTCTATGTTCTAATTTATGTGACACTATTTCCTTATTAGGTTATTACAAAAAGAACACACATTAATACATTTGGAAATAATATAACTTTAAACTTTTCGTTTTACCCTTTATGAGAATCTTTTATAGTGATGAGAATGTTATGACATGTTAAATACACAAGCTTCAACAATATTATAGTCAGCGACACAAATGTCATGACATGTTTAAATGTTACGTCACGTTTAAGATCACAAGTTTCAAAAGTATAATCGTCACACAAATATTATCACATGGTTAAACCACGAGTTTCAACATTCCTATTTTTTTCTTAAGTTCCTGGCCGAATCAAATTAAGTCACATAAGTTGGAGCTGAAGGAGTATAATTAAGCCTTTGTGCTCCACACAATGATCACAAAAATCAACAATTCCAACTAAACTACAAGCATCTAATTCAAAAATTGATATAGAGCAAAAACAGAAAGTAAATTGCAGTGACAATGTGGTACCAAAAGCATAGACATCAATATTTTTCAACCCAAAAATTGCCTTTTTGCGCAGCCCAATTCCGAGGAGTCGCTGGGACTCTTTCAGAATTGAAGGAAATGACATTCCAGTCCTCGATTCAGTGACTGGAGCTGAGTTATCAGCTAAAGAAACAGAACCCCACATAGGCGAGGAATGATTTTTGCTAGGTGAGAAGTTGGAGAGTAGAAAATTCATAGCATTTTCAAGAAACAGATTTTTGGGACTTTGAGTGATGGCAATGATCGCTCCGGCAGCAGCCACGACTGAACCTCCGGCGGCGACGGCAGCGGCGATGGATAAGGAGCGAGATGAACCATTTGGGGTGGTGGAACACGGTGGCTTCTGGGGCTCAGAAAACAAGAAGGGAAAACGCAGAGAAGCCATTGTTTATTTCCTTTTACTACGAGTATAGTTTACTTTGTACTTCAAAAATATAACAAAAGGAATGTAATTCTTTTCTTCCTAATATTATTTTTACCTATTTCTTTTTACTATTTTCTCTGCACTTTTTTGTTTTCACTTTTAACAGAACAATATAACTTTAAACTTTTCATTTTATGAGAAGTTTTTCTAGTGATGCAAGTATTATGTCATGTTAACACAAGCTTCAACAATATTATAGGCGGTCACACAAATGTCATGACATGTTTAAATATTATATCAAGTTTAAAATCATAAATTTCAAAAGTATTAACCTTACAAAAATATTATGACATGGTTACCACGAGTTTCAAAATTCTTACAAGTATTTTTTTCATTAAATTACGTGTCGAATCAAATTAAGTCGCATAAATTGGAGTGGAAGAAGTATAATTAAGCATTTGAGCTCCACACAATGATCACAAAAATCGAAAATTCCAACTAAACTACAGTCATCTACTTCAAAAAATGATAAAGAGAAAAAAAAAAGTAAATTGGAGTGACAATGTGGTACCAAAAGCATAGTAATCAATATTTTTCAACCCAAAAATTGCCTTTTTGCGCAGCCCAATTCCAAGGAGTCGCTGGGACTCTTTCAGAATTGACGGAAATGACATTCCAGTCCTCGATTCTGTGATTGGAGCTGGATTATCAGCTAAAGAAACAGAACCCCACAAAGGGGAGGAATGGTTTTTGCTAGGTGAGAAGTTGGAGAGTAGAAAATTCATAGCATTTTCAAGAAACGGATTTTTGGGACTTTGAGTTATGGCAATGATCGCTCCGGCAGCAGCCACGACTGAACCGCCGGCGACCACGGCGGTGGAGAAGGAGCAAGATGAAGCATTTGCGGTGGTGGAACACGGTGGCTTCTGGGGCTGAGAAAACAAGAACGGAAAACGCAGAGACGCCATTGCTTATTTTTTACCTTTTACTACGAGTATAGTTTACTATATACTTCAAAAAATATAACAAAAGGAATGTAATTCTTTTCTTCCTAATATTATTTTTATCTATTTCTTTTTACTATTTTCTCTGCACTTTTTTTCCACTTTTAGTACTG